TGTGGTTTTGATTTGGATTTCCCTGATGGCTAATGATGATGAACATTTTTTCATGTGTCTGTTAGCCATTTGTATGTCTTCTTCAGAGCAGTGTCTGTTCATCTCTTCTGCCCACTTTTTGACTTGATTATTTGTTTTTTGGGTGTTGAGTTTGAGAAGTTCTTTATAGATCTTGGATACCAGCCCTTTATCTGTAGTGATAGACCAGCATTTAAATAGTACATCTCAAGAAATGGTTCTGGAATAACTGGTTACCTACAAGGAAAAAAATTAACCATGAGCTATTTCTCATACCTTACATAAAAACTAATGCAATTTGGATCATATACTTAAGTATAAAAGCTAAAATTATAGCCTTTAGTAGAAAACACATGAGAATATCATTGCAACCTTCAAATTAGCAAAGATTTCTTAAAGAGAACATGAAAAGAAAAAAGAAATTTTTAAATGGTAAATTGTTCTTTATCAAAATTAAACATTTTGCTTATCAGAAGATACTGTTGGAGGTGGGGAGGAATGTGGGGAGTTAGTGTTAGAGAAGATGAAGACATTCTGGTGATGGATAGTGGTTAATGGTTACACAACACTGTGAATGTACTTAATGCCACTTAACTGTACACTTAAAAATTATTAAAAGGTAAATTTTATGTTACGTTTATTTACCCCCCCACACACACACAAAAGACACCATTAAAATAATGAAGAGGCAAGCCAGTGACTGGGAGTAAACGTTTCCAACCACAATATATAAAGAACTCTTACAACTCAGTAATAAAAAGACAAAAAATATTTATTTTATCTAAATATTTCTTTGGGCCATTTTCAAGCTAACTGGCTACTTTTCAACCAATTTGCTTAACCCTAAGCCGTTTTCCTGTATTCTGTTGACTTAGCATTTTCAGGAATTTAAGATTATCCCTTCAGTTGTTTTATTTAAAGCATTAAATAAAATTAATTTCGGTACCGATATCTAAAAATCGTTACCACTTATATTTTTCTACCCAAGGATGTGCCTTTTATCTGTTCACTGTTTCCTGTCTTCAGGCCACCAGCCCTGTGGTTCCTCTTTTTTTTTTTTTTTTAAGATTTTATTTATTTATTTGACAGAGAATGACACAGCAAGAGAGGGAACACAAGCAGGGGGAGTGGGAGAGGAGAAGCAGGCTTCCTGCGGAGCAGGGAGACTGATGTGGGGGCTCGATCCCAGGGCCCTGGGATCATGACCCGAGCCAAAGGCAGATGCTTAACGACTGAGCCACCCAGGCACCCCACCTATGGCTCCTCTTTTTTGTTTCCTTAACATTAACTCTTTCAGAATCATAGGTTTATGAATTAAAGGCAGTTTTTCCTACTCTTAACAGTGATTCTCAAGACTTTTTTCAGTCACATAGAAGAAATTCCATGCAAATATGAGTTTGTAATTACAGAATATGGACTTTGCCTGTTTTATAAATCCTATAAGCACATAGCTTTTCAGTGAATCTTAATGTAGGTTTATTTATTTATTTTTACAACTTCAGTATTTTTGTTTACTTGCCTACATAAAGCAGGTCTGGAGACATAGAATATATTTTTCTTTTTTTCCCATGCTAAGAAGTCAGAATTAATTTGAAAAAAGGATGCCTGTTATACCATACAGAAATAGTACATGACATAACCCATGTCCTTATGGAATTTATAATGTGGTTGAAGAAATAAAACCAATACATGAGACATTTGATAAAATGTAAGTTGTGAATTGTTGATAAAAGATCAGAAGTGGGGGCGCCTGGGTAGTAGCTCAGTCGGTTAAGTGGCTGACTTTGGCTCAGGTAATGATCTCGGGGTCCTAGGATTGAGCCCCGTGTCCTCCCTGCTCAGCAGGGAATCTGCTTCTCCCTCTGCCCCTCCCCCTGCTCATGCACTCTATCCCTCTCTCTCGAATAAATAAATAAAATCTTAAAAAAAAAAAGATCAAAAGTAGAGTGATGACTAAGGACTAAAGTAGTCTGGGAAGAGTTCCTAGAGGTGCTGAGATATGTGTTTGTAGGATTTGGAGAAGCAGTGTAGAGAGCTGTCACATTTCTGTACAAGGAAGGACTGAGGTGCAGGAATGAGAACGACAACACAATGAAGGGCTTGTCCAGATCAAAGCACAGGTTGCTATTGAGAATTAGTATAAAATAAGGCTTCTAAAGTTTTTTATAATCTTATTTACTCTGTTTTTCCTTTTGTAGCTTTTAAGCATTACTGTATGTAGTTGTTGCCAGGAACATTTGAGCACCAATTATACTAAACTCTTATTTTTTCTACAGATTTTGTAGCCCTTTCATAGAATATCTTTGAACAAAATATATTATAGTCTTATGGGGCTTCTTAAGCTACCTGTGAGAAGGACCTTTTTTTGTTTGTTTTTTATTTCCAAGCCATTGCTGATTGAAACATTTTGGTAAAGTTCAATAAAATTTTCCTGGTAATTAAAAATTGCTGTAAGTGTTTCTGAATGCTTATTCTCAACTTTGTGTACTTACTTTTGTTATTGACGGGTAACAAATAGCACTTCTTTTGATCATTAATACTTTGTATCGTGATAAAAGTTTGTGTGCAATGTTTTTTAAACAGGTATGCATCTTCTATTGATGATATTTTAGAAGATGAAGAACATTATGCAGATCAGTTAAAGGAATATCTGTTTTATGCAGAAGCATTGCGGTAAGTATAATAAGTGTTCCAGATGCAGCCCTGTGGCTGGTCACCACTCTCCTCATACGTTGCCTGAAAGTAAAGACAGTAAGGTGATTTTTAAATGAATTCATCCCCCAGGTATTGAATGAGGTCTCATTGTAATCCTCTGTGTTGCAGAGTGCTAGGCATAGACATTTAAGACAAGTCCTGTTCTTGAAACATAATATTGATAAATCAACTCATCAGTCTCTAACCTCAGATCTGTTTGTAGGTTGTTCTTTCTACTTTTTTCAGTTTGAAGATTAAAAGCAAAATACAGATTGAGTGTATGTAGGCCTGTCACTAGGCAATATGTTGCCATTTTTATTCTGTAATTCTTTACACATCTGCTTATCTTCTTAGTAAGGTTGTATAAGTTCTTAATATCAGCACTTTGTCTTCTGTTTTTATGGTATCTCCTACAGAGCCGAACAGAATTCTCTGGTATATAGTTCTATTTAATTAAGAAGAAATTAGTATACTTTTTCTGTCCAATTTTAAAAAATGAATCATTTTCCTGGAATAGGTGTCTTTTGGTCATAGCCACTTTTGGTTATTTCCCTGTCACTTTTAAAAGCAGTATAAGAATTCTGTTAGTAAACACAGCACCAATTTTCCTTTAGTTGTTCAGTAACTGGTATGAAAACATCCGCACATTGTTAGCCTTGTTCCTTTTAAGACTGAGTAGTCAGGAGTTTCACCAAGGTCTCGTTACAAAGCAAAAGAAAGTTGCTGAATACAGTGGAATTCTGTATAGTTCTTAAACACTGTAGAAAAGATTAATGTATATTGGTATGTCCATGGTATATAGTTAAGTAAGATGAGATGTAGAATCACTTGAGGCATGTGCATATGTGTATTTGTAAGTGCCTAGCTAAGGTCTGGCCAAATATACATCATCTATTAATATGGATTGTGTCTGGATGGTGGAGTTAGGCAAAAGAAAGAATTCGTGAAACTTTTTTTATTTTGTGCATTCCTGTATTAGTATTTTTTTTTTTACACTAAGTGTGGATTACTTTTATGATAAAAACTAAGACATTTTTTTTTTTTTAAGATTTATTTGAGAGAGAGCGCGTGTGCGCAAGCGGGGTGGGGGGTGCGGGCAGAGGGAGGAGAGAATCTGAAGCAGGCTCCCCGCTGAGCACAGAGCCCGACATGGGGCTCAGTCTCACAACCCTGAGATCATGACCTGAGCCAAAATCAAGAGTTGGATGCTTAACCAACTGAGCCACCTAGGCACCTCAAAACTAAGACATTTCTGTATAAAAAAAGAAAATATTGAGAAATCTTTTTAAAGAATATTCAGTTGCTTTGTGAGAATCCACCATTAGTTTCTATGTTATACAAAAGATTTTGTTGTTAATGTATATGATAATGGTGTGTTTATTGAAAAAAATGTTGCAGGTATCTAAAAAACGACCTTTTTTGTTAAGTATATGTAAAACTTTTATGCTTATGTTCTGCTAGATTTAATTTTTGATATTGGGCTACTACATTTTAAACTTGAAAATTCTGTGTGCACAAGTTCTGAGCCAGTAAGACATTGTGAATGCTTCCCCTCGTCCCCTGAAAAATTTTTTTGATATGTTAAAAGAAGGCACAAAAATTAAATGGCAGCACTTTTTTCATCCCTAGGGCTGTATGCAGGAAACATGAACTTATGCAATATGACTTGGAGATGGCTGCTCAGGACTTAGCATCCAAAAAGCAGCAATGTGAGGAACTGGCAACTGGGGTGAGTGTTCCATTTAGGTCTCTGTATCATTGCAGCAAGCCATATAAGGAAGGAGCTGCAGCTCTAATACTCAGGATGCCTGTAGCTTTTATAGGGGAATAATTTATGGGCAACATTATAATTCTTTGGGTTGTGATCTTGATATTAAAAGACGTAAGCCATTAAAACATTGTATTATATAGCATTGGAAGAAATTCTGCCAGGGCACCTGGCTGGCTCAGTTGGTGGAGCATGCAGCTCTTGACCTCAGGGTTGTGAGTTCGAGCCCCACGTTGGGTGTACAGATTACTTGAAAATAAAATCTTTAAAAAAAAAAGTCTGCCAACATTGCTCTGTGTAGTGTCTTTTAGTTTATGTTAAGTCCAAATGAAAAAACATTATTCTTTGTGGTTGAAATAATGATGTTTGTCAGGTTTAATTTTACAAAGTATATTATAGAAATTTTAGTTTACTTTGAAAAGCCTTACCTAGTTAGAATCAGTGCATCTCTCCTAGGAAGGAGCTTTTGGTACACAGTGAATACTTGTGAAGAAAATTCCATATCTTATTGTATGAATCTTAGATCATTTTTATAGTCAGCTTTCTACTGTCCAACCATTTTATTGGAATAAAGTAGCTGTTGTAGTGAGAATACACAATCTGGAAATAATGAAACAGTGACAGTACCACCATTTATCCGTCACTTCATAGTTAACAAGTACTTTGGTATGTCTGAAAAGTCACAGATATATGTGGGAAAAGACCGTTGGCCACAAAACATGTATACACTGGGCTTGATTTATTTTTAAAACTCAGGGGAAATTCCCAGGCCATTTTCAGGGAGCAGGGTTCTCTACTCCTCCATGTGAAGGGAAAAGTGTTTCTCTCAGTAAATTCCGGAGAGTGAGGAAGTGTTAAAGCAGTGATGCTTCAGGCTTCCCTCCAAGGGAAGGCATCCTATTTTATTGATAGATACCCAAGTTCCAGTGTGTGTTATGCAGATTTTAAATGTTGTTTGTTTGTTTTAGTGTGGTCTGTTTCCTTTGTTGCCTGTTGAATTTTATCTATTTTTTATGTCAGAAATTTAAAGAAATATGACTTATGATCTAAAGAAATAATTTGCCTAATACTTCACCTAGAAGTTTTCCATGTGATTAAGAAGTTCAGTTAGAAATTTTTTCTTTTTGACTATTCCATATTATTCCAGAGTTAGCAATCATATTAGGACCCCCTGGTTATAAGACTTATGAGGTATGGGGAAAATGGCAAAAGTTTTATTTCCCTTTTTTAAAAAAAATGTTTAATTGTGGTTTAAGTATACATACCAAAATTTGTCATCTTAACCATTTTTTTAACCTGGTTTTTCTCTTTTTCTTCTTCTCTATATATATGTATAGATCTGTCTATCTTGAAAGATTTTATTTTTTTATTTTTTATTTTTTTAAAGATCTTATTATTTGACAGAGAGAGAGACAGCAAGAGAGGGAACACAAGCAGGGGGAGTGGGAGAAGGAGAAGCAGGCTTCCCGCTGAGCAGGGAGCCCGATGTGGGGCTCGATCCCAGAACCCTGGGATCATGACCTGAGCCGAAGGCAGACGCTTAACAACTGAGCCACTGAGATGCCCGGATTTTATTTTTAAGTAATCTCTACACCCAACATGGGGCTCAAACTCACAACCCTGAGGATCAAGAGTCACATGCTCTACCCACTGAGCCAGCCAGGCATCTGTATTTTTCTTTTTAAAAAATAATTTTTACTCTTGGGGCGCCTGGGTGGCTCAGTCGGTCCTGGTGCTCAGCCAGGAGCCTGCTTCTCCCTCTTCCTCTGCCTCTCCCTCTGCTTGTGAACTCTCTCTTTCTCTGTCAAATAAATAAAATCTTTAAAAAAAAAATAATAATAGTTTTTACTCTTATGATTTTGAGCTTACAAAATAGTGGAAAAAAATTAGTACAACTATTATTGAATTTACACTGATACAAATTAAAAGCAATTTTATGAGAGCATAGATTAATGAATGGTTATACTAGGGATTGTTGATAGCTATTTTGAAGTGTATAGTTCAGTAGTAGTAAGTACATTCATATTGTTGTGCAGCCAACCTCCAGAACTCTCTTCATCTTGAAAATTGAAACTCTATACCATTAAACATCAACTGTCGATTTCCCTTCCCTCCAGCCCTTGGCCGTCACCATTCTACTTTCTGTCTCTATGACTTTGACTACTCTAGATACCTTACATTAAGAAGAATCATACAGTATTTGTCTTTTTGTGACTTGTTTATTTCCACTTAGCATAATGTTCTCAGATGCATCCATGTTGTAGCATGTGTCAGAATTCCCTTTCTTTTTCAGGCTGAATAATATTTCTTTGTACATATGTGCCACATTTTGTTTATCCACTCACCTGTTTATGTTTCCTTTTAGACCGTGAGAACATTTTCTTTGAAGGGAATGACTACCAAGCTCTTTGGTCAAGAAACTCCAGAGCAGAGAGAAGCCAGAATAAAGGTGCTAGAAGAACAAATAAATGAAGGAGAACAACAGTTAAAGTCTAAAAATCTGGAAGGCAGGTAAAAATGCTGAGATGTTGAACAAAACTAGACATATGTACTACATGGCAGATTGTTTTTTTATACCGTTTCCCATCTTCATTAACATTCCTACATTATAGCCTGTTCTTCTAGGGCATTTTTTTTTTAAGATTTTATTTTCAAGTAATCTTTACACCCAACGTGGGACTCGAACTCATGACCCTGAGATCAAGAATCACAGGCTCTACCGACTGAGCCAGCCAGGTGCCCCTATACTGGTTCTCCTAAACTGTAGTGATTGAGGGGCACCTGGGTGGCTCAGTTAAGTGTCCGACTCTTGGTTCTGGCTCAGATCATGATATTGCAGTTGTGGGATCAAGCCCTGCATCAGGCTCTGCGCTAAGCATGGATTCTGCTTCAAATTCTCTCTCCCTCTCTCTGCCCCTCCCCCTGCTCCTGTGCTCTTTCTCTCCCTCTCTCTCTCTCAAATAAATAAATAAACAGCTCTTTAAAAAAAATAAAATGTAGTGATTGAATTCCTAAGAAATTTGAATTATCAAAAATCATGTTATAAAAACAGTTTTAGTATGGGGGAAAGAGTAAGAAGAATTTCAACTTTATAATATTATTTTCCTGCACTTTTCCTGATTTCTGTCCTTTGCACATTCCCTTTGCCCTTTCTTCTCCATCACTTGACAAAAGCCTGATCGTTCTTCATTGCCCAGCTCTTGCGCTACTTCCTTTGTGAGGCTTACTTCTAGCCTCGCAGGCTCTCGTAGCCCTTGGTTCATGCCACGATAACATGGCAGTTTTGTTTTGGGTGGTCAGTTGTTCTCTGTGATTGTCCCCGGCTAGATTAAGTGCCCTTCAAAGTCAATGACTGTGTCTTTCATCTTTATGTTTCAACATCCTGCATTGGGCTTGGCATGTAATTATTCCATAAATATTTCTGGAAATGCAACTATCAAAGGTCTGCCATTGCAGTTTGGCTTATTTTCCTTATTGTTGTTTTTCATCTGATAATAAGTAGATCAAGGCCGACCAAGGAGTCTGTCATTGGTGTTGAGGTATTTTTGTTCATTTTTAGGACTGCTGGCACCAAATAAGTAAAAGTAAACTTTTATGAATGGGATTTAGAAAGACAAATGCCTCTCAGAATTTTTAAAACTCTGGTTGTCATTGAAAGCAAGTGTGTAGGGGCGCCTGGGTGGCTCAGTCAGTTGGGCTGCTGCCTTTGGCTCGGGTCATGATCCCAGGATGGCGAGTCCCTCTCCCTCTCCCACTCCCTGTGCTTGTACTCTCTCTGTGTCTGTCAAATAAATAAATAAAATCTTGAAAAAAAAAACTTCATGTGTTATAATAATAATAATTGTGATACATAATATATCTTGTCAAAAGAGTATGTTTTCCAGTGACCCCAGGAGGGCAACTTCACATGGCCTCTGTTAGGCTTGTGAGCTGGTTCATAAAACCATCTAATGGCTGCTTTATAGGAATAATTTGAAGCTGGGATTCTTGTGGCAAAAGTATTGATTATTAAAATGTAGACGAATGTATGACAGTTTCTCTGCTTCTTCTCCTAGTATAATTTTTAGGAAGAGAAAAATAGAACTATCTTATACGGAGAGTAGCTTTTTCCTTCATATAGATAAATAAAAACCAACGCAAATGAGAACTGGTTATTAGAATTTATAATATAGTTAACCTAATTTGAGTAAGAGTAATGATGACTACACATTTTATTTCAGAGAATTTGTGAAAAATGCTTGGGCCGATATTGAACGCTTCAAAGAACAAAAGAACCATGATTTAAAGGAGGCCCTCATAAGCTATGCAGTCATGCAGATCAGTATGTGCAAAAAGGTAGGTGAGGGTACAAATATATTCAGAAGTGCTTACAAATTTCTTTAAAACTGATTTCTCTTATGTGGACCAGAGTGTTTATTTTCATTTTTTAAAGCCCATTTCCCCCCTCCTTCCAGAATGTTTTCCGGTTTCTTCACTTAACGTTGAAAGAGTATTGTAACCAGAATGTTAATTATTGAGTCTTCACTCACCCAAAGTTCCACATTTGTATGCCCTGTTTATATCTAGTATCTGAAAATATATATCAACACCATTACTTGGATTATATGATGTTCTTGGACAGGGGGTAAGATACTGTTCCTAACAGTGATGTATAGTACTTGGATTGGGAGATAGCTTAACCATGATTTGGGGGAAATGTGGTTATGATACGGTTTGTTGTCATAGTAAGTCTGTCATGTGACTGATATCCACAGAAGAAGGTAAGAACACGGAAGCTTATTCTGGTTCAAGTAAGTGTTTGGACAGTGCTGAAATCGTTAAAATGCTATTGTAAGAACGAAATCTAAAACATTCCTTCTTTTTTATAACCCACGATCTGCCTGTATGTGTCAGTTAGTACCAACGGTTTACATATGTCTAGCACTTCACAGTTTACCGACGTGCATTATCTCAGTAAATCATATAGCAAGATGATTTCTCAGTTATGAAGACCTTCTTAGAGGGAAAAATCGTACTCATATGAACAGCTTGTGCTTTAATTCATCCAAAATGCGCATTTTCTGGCGAGACACCATCCCTTCCCTGGCCCTTTCCACTTGGTATCACCAGCAGTGCACAGAGAGCAAGGATATTTTGAGATGTAAATGCCAGACTCTGGAATTAGTCACATGGGCTCCTTTTGTATTGGCCAAATTCATATTTATGCCTTAGTTAAAGTGTCAGTTACTTCACGTAGTGGATCTTTGAGGTCGTTTAAGAGACGTTAAAATCATGAGTGATCCATCTGCACATGCCAATGGGTGAGTATGACTGTAGCTTGATAGTGTGTGTTTGTTTTAAGACTTTATTTACTAATACATTTATTTGAGAGAGAGCAAGCAAGCAAGTGTGTGAGCGGGGAGGGGAGGAGCAGAGGAAGAGAAAGAATCCCAAGCCTACTCCGTACTGAGCGCAGAGCCTGATATGGGACTCGATCCCGTGACCCTGAGATCATGATCTGAGCCTAAATCAGGAGTCGGGGCATCCAACTGACTGAGCCACCTGGGTGCCCCACAGCTTGATAGTGTTTTTATCTGTTGCTCTCTTCCTGCTAACTCTACTGCCTCCCTGCTTCACAGATTGCTTCACATTTAGTCTTTTTTCTAACCTTTCTTTTTTTAATCTCGGGAGGTCTGAAAGATCAGATAACACAAATGTTTTAGAGTTGGTTTGGTTTTGTTTTCATAAAAGACTTATTAATAAGCTCCTTGTGATCTTCTGTTCTCTGCTTTTCCAAGTAAAAGGCAGACTGTATAATGGCTCAAAGGACTTTTCTCCCCACTTTACCTAGGGTGGGGTGGTTGAGGGTACTGGAAATTAATCTCTGAATAAAGAAGATATCACTGTAGGTGTATTTGGATATGCTGTTGGATATCTTGTGTGTCTGCTCATGTGTCCTACGATTAAGTATAGTAAGCAAGTATACCCACATGAGATTAAAAAGATGTGTATTCACCTTATTGCCCAAGAACAGTACTATAAAGTTTCATCATGTATTTTTTTCCTTAAGTGGAATAGATTTTTATATATGAAAATCTGCAGTATTCTTTTTTTTATGAACTTAAAATTAAGTACGAGAAGATAAGATTAATATTAGTTTTTCTTGGGGCGCCTGGGTGGCTCAGTCATTAAGCGTCTGCCTTCGGCTCAGGTCATGATCCCAGGGTCCTGGGATCGAGTCCCACATCAGGCTCCCTCCTCGGGGGGAAGCCTGCTTCTGCCTCTCCCCCTCCCACTGCTTGTGTTCCTGCTCTCGCTATCTCTGTCTCTGTCAAATAAATAAATAAAATCTTTAAAAAAAAAAAAGAACCACTTCCAAAAAAAAAAAAAAATATTAGTTTTTCTTGGGTAAATATGGGTATCTATGTTTTGCTTATTTTACTTGTGTATTAACTTTTCAAATATACCATACTTTGTTATAATGTCAGCTATCCAAAGTGGTAATTGAATATAATCAAATGACTAAATTGTAGTAGTAGTAAACCAAAACAAAAAACTTTTACAAGGATGCCTAGGTGGCTCAGTTGCTTACACGTCTGCCTTCCGCTCAGGTCATGATCCCAGGGTCCTGGCATCGAACCTCATGTCGGGCTCCCTGCTCCGCCGGAAGCCTGCTTCTCCCTCTGTCCCTCCCCCTGCTTGTGTTCTCTCTCTCTCTGACAAATAAATAAAATCTTTAAAAAAATTTACATAAAAAGTATTAACACTTAAAAATCAAGGATCACAGGGCGCCTGGGTGGCTCAGTTGGTTAAGTGACTGCCTTCGGCTCAGGTCATGATCCTGGAGTCCCAGGATCGAGTCCCGCATCGGGCTCCCT